CCATTTCGCTGATTTGAAAATATTCTGCTTTCAAAGAACTGTCCTTTCAGAAAACAAAACAGAATTTGATGCTTCTAAATTTCTCCCCTCCACTTTAAGGAATCCATTAAGAGGGTTTTCAATCGTTTTTCCTAGTGGTATGAGCGTGACTCGATCACTTCTTTCAAGATATCGTTTTATACAAGTGACGAAGCGTTTCCGAATCAACTGGAGCTCCATGCTTTCTAATGACCGCTTTCTTTCTGATGACCTTGATCGGGAACTTGCGGTTTTCATGAAAAACCATTGGTCACTATGTGAAGATCTCGACCTAATACGTCTTCCTTCTCAGCTTTTCAACGAGAATCTTTCGTTAATGCAAGAAAATGTGAAACTCCAAGCTGTCCTCAGAAGTTGGGATAACTTCACGAGTTGTGTCGAGTTTTTCGCGTCACGGAATTGTTTTAATGCGTCGTATTGCAGTGTTGGGCATTATGGAAATCTAGTGAGGAAAGAAGATCCTAGATACAAAAAACTACTAGACATTTTCGATCGTGCGCACATGCCTCTTGTTTAGGCAGAGTTTATCGACCAGTCCACGGAGCAGCTCTTTTTTCACCGACCGCCACTGGCCTACCGATTTCAAATTAAATTGTGCTTCAATTACTCTCAAATGCATATTTTGCAATGTCAATCTTCTTGATAAATTAAAAATTACGATGTTTGTGTTTTCTCGCTTTTAATTATTGTAATTCTAGAATACGTATTTCATTCGTTACCTAATAAAAATCTATCTTTCAGGAAAGCATGTCATGTTATGCACAAATATGTTTAAGTTTAATAAGTAACCCCCAACCGAATTCCAGAAACAAGTGAGGAAAGGAGATCCGAGATACAAAAAGCAAATTATGAGGATTTGAGGTCCGGGATCCATCGGTGGATCCCGTCGTCCCAGGTGGCAGTCACCCTGGGACCCACCGGTGAGTCCCATCGTCGTGAATGTGTTAAAACAGTCTTTATCAAAGAAAGTTCTTGAAAAGATGTGTTTTCTACTTTTTCTTCTTTTTGCTTTGGCATTATTGTTAATTGTTAGTGAATGGATGTCAGATTAGGTGCGATCAGTAAGTCTGGAAAGTTTTGCTGGAAAGTCCGGAAAGAAATCTTGTTATTTCTTAGTTATCTTTGAGAAATGTAGTTATTTTTAACGATTAGAAGCTTTATTTAAAGCCATAATGCAATTCAAGGATGGAGATGGAAGTGTAGATTGGAATATTGATGTACGCTTTCCAAGGACAAACTATGGTTGGTCCGGAAAATTTGCTATGATTGGATGATTTAAGCGACCGGTTTAAAGGATCATCCAAAATTATGGCAACAAATTTTAGAAAACTATTCTTTTCCAAAAAACTTTCTACAAAAAGTAGCATGTATTATATACTATTTGAATTGAGAGCTCCTTTTGCAAATAAAACGAAACTGATCGGTAGGAGACCAGACCGTCCATTTCCCATCGAGGCTCCAAAGCTGAAATATGTTTATTTCTGATGGAAATCCTTCCATTAAGCATTTATTACTTTAGAAAAAAGAGTTTCCTCAGATTGCTTCAAATATTTTTGGATTAATTATGCATTCGAAATTGGAATAAATATTCATGTTTTCACCATGAAAATCTCACAATAGCGTGGGTGTACGAATCCGGCCATCTACCCTTCCAATTTGTGAAATCCACCGAACTTCCATCCGTCCATTCAAAAGCATTTTCTTTGTTCCAATTTCTCTGAATAACAAAATTTCTATGTTTAGACATTGATATTTAGATCCGATTTTCCTTTCTTATTATTGAAATGATTCTAGTTTCCCAATCGAAACCATTATTTCTATCAAAGAACTATCAGTCAAACGAATCTTTTTTTACAAAGTGCGTTCCAAAGTGGCTGAAAAAAATGAAAGAATTAAGTTTAATATATTCATTTATGTCTTTCCATAAGAAAAATTCAACCTTCAGTCCGATCCAGAACAAAGACTCCGAACCAACATTTTTCGCTGAAATAAATATCGATTGTTTTTGGTTTATAAAGCATAAATTTCTAAGAAAATCATGAATTTTCAGAATTGAATCATTTTGATTTCTTACGGAGTTTCCAAACAAAATCGTTCTCTTCCTGACTGTGAATTGAGACTAAATGGCTTTTTCTGCCCCCACAATATGCCTCGGCTTCATCGAATGTCATTCTTTGATCGATAAACTTGAGATGAAGATAATCCTGGTTCACAACATCCACCAAACCTTGTACCAAGAAGCGGTTTCTTCCAAATACGACCATCCATCCAGATCCAAGAAAGTCGTCGTTCGACTTCTGAATTTCTTCGAAAACCTTTACTCCAGGTTTTTTTGAAACAAATACTCCTTCCTTTTCGATCAAACAAACTCACAAATCTGCCTGTAACTTCGCGATTTCGGCCGTTTTGTTTTCCCTTTCAGATTGTCTAAAGAGGAATTGATTGGATTGAGTGGAATGGGTGTTTGGGAAATGAAAAAACTCTTTTCTTAAGTCTCAGTCGACAAGAGATGCCAAATGAACTCACATTTGAGCCCTCAATTCGGTGATTTTCGTTGCTCTAAAAGGAGTTCTGTTAGTTAACAATCTGTCATAACTAAGAATAACCAGAGAGAGAAGAAAACTCACAACTCGGCCTTTAGCTCCATGCTTTCGGACCTCAATTTCCTCTCGACCTCGGCATTTTCTTTCCTCGTTTCGTTCAACTCCTTCTCGCTGAACAACTCTAGCCAGTCAAATTCTAACAGTTTTCAACGTACAAATCGGCTTTCAACGCGGAAAAGGTCCTTGACATTTCGGCGACTTTGGAATCTCTAGATGTTTCTCATTCTCAGATATTTCTTTAAGGGATCTCAAGACTCACATCCCGGCTTTCAAAGCAGCACCAATCTTCGTCGGTCGTTCGCAGAGTCCACTGATTTTTCCTCGAGCCTCGACGAGTTCTTGTCGGGTTCCATTCCTGAAAAGTCTTGTCATTGGGACACGCAAACCTATTTCTTGTTCATTGTCTCGAAAAAAACCCACAAATTTCTTTGACAAGACCTCAAATTGATGGGATAGACAAATTGATGGGTATAACTTGACGACGAACCCTCATCACTACTGCTGAAATCTAAGATCATCGAAAATCCCTTTCTGACCAACTTTGACGAAGAAATTCGATGGAAAAGAAGGAAAATCGTGATGAATAGACCGACGGCCATCACACCCATTCCGATCGATTGATGAATTCGTTTTGAATTCAAGGAAATGGGAATAATGAATGGAGCGACGATGCCAAAGTGCCAAAGTGAAAGTTTTGACGGCCCAAAGGGCAGGAATAACTGTTTTGACGAGCCCGAATAGATGTTTGAGAATGGAATTTTGAGCATTTAAAAGTCGCTTTCTGAGGTCATTACAAACAGACAGACAGTTATTTTTAGTTTCACAATACTACTAGTTTTTGTGGAGGCTTTATAATTGCTTGCTTTTGGTGTGAAAAGGAGGATAAGAATCTAATAAATCGAATCTATCACCTTACACCTTTCGATTTTGCGATGTCACCAAGTTAAAGGCTTCGAAAAGAAGGGGTTCTCCGTTGTAAATGACGCTCTTTCCACTAAAAAACGATTTTTCAAAAAATCTGTGAGGAGAATCTGGAAAATTTTTCCTGTTTTGAAATGAGTACATTTTTCTGTGTAGAATGACACATCTTTCATCAAAATTCATCAAAAAACGCAAATTGCACCGATGTGTGTGAGACCTGAACCACTGTTTTGACGGCCCGAAGGGCTGGAATGAAAATTTTTGAAGGCCAGAAGGGCCTGAGTGTAACCGTGGACTTTTTTGAACTGTCTGAAAGGCCTAATGAGAGATTTGTACGGTCCAAAGGGCCGAACTATGTCTATTTTCCAACCCATCAGCGCAAATACTTTCACGGGTCCCCCAATTAGACAGCGGGCAAAGCGAACGATCGTGAGCGAACAAAACCGGACGTGGAGCTAGCGAGATCACGACAAGAGTCTCCAAATTGGAGACCAGGTTGGAAGCCGATTTGTGAGTGTTTGGAATGGCGTTAATTGGATGGAATCACCAGAGACGATAGAGACGAGGGATCCAAAAATCCCCAATTTTCCATAAATGAAATGAAGGATTTGCGTCGACGATGGGAAGAAGTCAAAATGGAGAATACTTTACTGATTGATAGTTGTTATTTCTTGTAGAATGCAATCTATTGTTACACGCAAAAAACGCGCATTATTTTTCCCTGATCTAATAGTTAATAAAACACTTCTCCTTAGGTTTTGAATAGTTTCTAGATTTGCATGGAAACTTGCCTCGTGCTAAGGAATAGAAATATCATGGAAATTTTCAGGAAACGAATCACCCGAGACGATAGGGAGGTTTTTCTGGTAAGGTTTTTGACAGAGAAAGTCCAACATCTCACATGTTTAGGCAAAAAAGCCTTGAGACACTTTTAGAAATTGACTCTGTCTAGCCAGTCCATAACTTCGAAAAGAAGAGTCCACCAATTTAATTTGGACTAATAAGGACTCCTTTGATGGAAAAGAGATCTTTGTTAAACTGAAACTCGAACAGCATCTCTCTCGCCGGACCTCTTCATTCGCTACTCGTGCCTCAAAGAGATTTTGGTTTTGGACAAAGAAATTCCCTTAGCTACACGCAACTCTTCGCAAACGTGGCCGAGAACATCACGAGGCAAATGAATGGGGAATTTCGAATGAAATCCATTTTGATTGTATTCCATATTCCATATCTAATATTCAGGAGCAGCCAGACAGCAAAATACTTGCAGCTGCAGGCGCAATTCTGGATTTCTGGAAAAACTTTTTATATGAGATTTTGCAGAAACAATTCAGAAATAAAGGAGAAGATAATGTGCAGTTCTGTGTTTTCAGAAGATTGGATAACATGGGATTTATTGATTTTTGGTCCACAGAAAAAGACACAAAGCATTTATCAGAATTGAGAGCTCCTTTTGCAGATCAAAAGAATCTGCTGGGTAGGAGGATAGACTCCCCATTTCCCATTGTAGCTCAGAAGCTGAAATGTGTTCATTTCTGATGGAGATCCTTTGATAAAACACTTTGTGTTCTTTCACAAAAAGAAATTTCCTCAGATTGATCAATTTTAATTATGCATTGGAAATTGGAATACATATTGATGATTTCACGTTGAAAATCTCACCCAAGTGTGGGTGTTCAAATCCGGCTCTTCTCCATTCCAATTCGTGAAATCCACCGAACTTCCATCCGTCCATTCCAAAGCATTTCCTTTGTTCGGATTTCTCTGAATAAAGAAATGTTTATGTTTGGACATTGATATATTTCGATCCGATTTTCCTTATTTCTTCTTGAAATTATTCTAGTTACCCAATTGAAACCATTATTTCAATCAAAGAACTACTAGCTAAACGAATCATTTTTTCACAAAAAGCCTTCGGGAAATGGCTGAAATAATCATTAGTTTCTATATATTTATGTCTTTCAATGAGAAAAACTCAACCTTCAGTCCGATCCAGAACCCATGAAAGGCTTGAACAGTTTTCGCTGAAATAAATATCGGTTGTTCTTGGTTTATAAATCATAAATTTCTACGAAAATCATGAATTTTCAGAATTGAATCATTTCGATTTCTTACCGAGTTCCCAAACAAAATCGTTCTCTTCATGACTGTGAATTGAGACTAAATGGCTCTTTCGACTCGCACAATATGCCACGGCTTGATCAAATGTCATTCTTTGATCGAAAGCCTTGAGATGAAGATAATCCTGGTTCACAACATCCACCAAACCTTGTACCAAGAAGAGCTTTTTGCCAAATACGACCATCCATTCAGATCCAAGATCAAAGTCATCGTTCGACTTCTGAATTTCTTGGAAAAACATTACTCCAGATTCTTTAGACAAATACTCAATCTATTTCCTGAAAAAAAAGGCATAAATCTGCCCGCAACCTCTTGATTTCGGACATTTTGTTTTCTCTTTTAGATTGTGAGGAGGGGAGTTGATTGGATTGAGTGGAATGGGTGTTTTGGGAGTGAAAAAACTGTTTTCTCAAATCTCAGTCGACAAGAGATACCAAATAAACTCACATTTGGGTTTCGAGGTCAGAGTTCTCGCTCTGCAACGCGTTGATTTTCCCTTCGAGCTCTCCAATCTTGGCTTTTCCGTCTCTTGCTTCCCTATTCTGAGTTCTTCTGAAAATAGTTCAGATAACTATATATTGGGCTTGTCAAAATCACTACTCAAAATCCAAAAAAGATGAGCTTGAATTCTTCAAGATTTTTGATTTCACCCACATTTCCCTCTCGAGTCCACTGATTTTTCCTCGAGCCTCGACGAGTTCTTGTCGGGTTACATTCCTGAAAAGTCTTGTCATTGAGACACCCAAGCCTATTTCTTGTTTATTCTATCAATTTCGCTTTTCTCCCAAAAAAACTCACAATTTGCTTTGACAAGATCTCAAGCAGACGGTATCCGGACAATCCTCTTTACTGCTGAAATCTAACATCATCCACAAACCCCTTTCTAACCAACTTCAAAGTACTACGATCACCAGACGGAATCTCATCTCGATCATTCGAAGATCTGAATGGTTGAAAACATGGCTATTTGAAGGGAAAGCAATACGTGAATAGATCCACTTGAACGCTTTCTTGAATGGACGAAGAAATTTGATGGAAAAGGAGGAGAATCGTGATGAATAGACCGACGGCCATCACACCCATTCTGCTGAATTGGTTGATTAGTTTTGAATACGGGGGAAATGGGAAGAACGAATGGAGGGACGATCCGATACACAATTGTTTTTTACGGAAAAGAGCTTTCGAGAGCTCTGAAATTGTTCAGGAAAGCGATTGACTCATTAAGCCGTTGAAAGAATCGCTTCGAATAGAACTTCGTGCAAAAAAAAGTAGCATTTCGGGAAAAAGAAAGCCGTCAGTTCGTGTGGAGTTGGTGAGTGAGAAAACGCGGAGTTATCAGGAGACTACTTTCGGGGAAAGTCAACTGAACCGACCGTTCCCATCAAATCGCCACAATTGTTCCTCAAAGCTATCTATCTCCCCCGGCGTAAACAGTTTTTCCTAGAGCCTTTTTGACTTCTCCAACTTCAAAATTCAAAGCTCCTCGAGGTGTCATCATTGTTGATTGTTGTTTTGGTTGTTCTATGTTTTTTAAGTTGTTTTGTGTTAAAGCAGAGCATTGTTGTAAAAAGCATAACTAAACAAAACCTCTCTAAAACGGAAACTGCTCAAGGCATTAAAGCCATTTCTGGAGATTTGGAAAAAAGAAGAGATGCTCTGAAGACATCGAGGAGGAGGCTTCGAGAGATTGTCCATTTTGGTTGCTAGACGAACGAACTGTCCTACAAAATGACTGAACTTTCCTGCAGAACAAGTGAAAATTAAAGGAAAAGGCTACTAAATAAGCAGAATTGATGAGATAATCAAACAAGAAATTCGTTGCCAAGCAAAATAGGGCAAAATTCTATAGGCAAAATTCTTACCAAATAAAGAGAAAGGAGGGGAATGGGCACTCCTTTAGTCATCAGTCGTCAAACAAAAACAATCAATCTTCGTTTCAGCGAAAACTGAAAACGAAAACTGCTACAAAACAACAATGATTTGGGGCCAGAAATAGAATGAGGACACTTGGATTTCCTCCATAATTTATCAATATTTAGACTACCAGGATCAGAGAACTTTTGTTAGTGGCTATTCCCCACAGTAATGCCTTTTTCATCGGAAAGAGGAAAACCATGTCGACGAAGAAATGATTGCATCCAACCGTTGCTTCTTTTGGAATTGAGACCAGCCTCAGAAACGGTTCATCGCTTCGGTATAGATAGCCACATTCGACAGCCAAATACCCTAATGGATCTGATTATCTGAAATGTACCTTCAAGTTTGAGGGAGATCTTCTGATAAGACTTTTCGAGTTTCTGGTAATCACGACCATCACCAGAAAACACGGAATGAAGAACTAATCCTTCTGGACTCTCTGATCACTTTTTATCAAAACACGGAATTCTTTTTCTTGACATCCATTTCCTCTCTTTTTATTGTATTTGACAAAATCATTTAGAAGAAGTGGTCCGAAGCTCTAGGTGGAGTTGTTTGTAACGATGAGGACTGTTTGGGTTGGTTTAACTTGTGGAAGAACGAGGAGTGACTGTCGATCAGGAGGAAGAGGAGGAGGAAGAGGAGGACATCTGAGAACAACTTAATTTATAGACCAACATCAACTTGTTACATAAGCTATTTATTATAAATGTGAAAAGTTAGGCACTTGTGGATTTCTCCCCGCAAATCCCGAAATTTGCTTCAATTTGCATATGAAAAATATCCACTCTGTACGCTGTAGAGGACTTCTAGACATTTTCTCCGAATAACTTTTTCGTATGCTCATTTATCTCACAACTTAAACTAAAATCATCTACCCAGTTTTCAAATACTAATTCACGTGCATAAATTTAAATGTGAGGGATTTGCTTCTATGGAAATTTGCGGGGAAAATATCCACAAGGACCCAAAAACAAACAACCAAACTGACAAACCAAGGCTAAAGTTCAAGCAAAAAGTGAGCAAGCCTTGACTTGACTTGACGAGTTGCTTGCTCTTGAGATCATGATTTTGATGCTTAAAACACCAACGGAAGATTCGGTGGAAGTGTGTATTGCTTTTCTGAAAGAGAGTGGCGCGAAACTGATAGAGGTTTGCTTTATGTAGAAACGATTTATTTAGAAATCATTGACGACACTGAGCAAAATCTCGTTGCTTTCCGTCGCGAAGTTTACTTGACAATTCAACCATCGCTCGGCTATCACCGCTCACAAACTTCTCGAAATGAGTGTCAGGCCAGAATGGGAGGTTGGGCTTATTGATTGAATATAAAACATTTTTGGCTCTTTCCAATTACTAGGCACTTTAACCGTGAAACTCACTTTTCTTAAATTTTAAGGTACCTAATAATAGAAAAGAGCCACATTTTTTTTCATTTTAGCCGGAACTCATTCACATACTCGTTGAAGTTAGTTTCAAAAGTATATGACTATTTTTTTAAATTTTAGGCTACTTTTGAGACGATAGCTCGGGAGACTTATCAAACTATCCATCGCTTTGATATTACGAAACTGAGGAATATGGCTCGTTTAATCAGTCATTTGCTTTTCACAGATGCCATTACTTGAGATGTAAGTCTTTATGCGAATATTTACTTTTTCTTATCCATATTTGAAGTGTTCAAATTTAGGTTTTGAGCGAAATCCATTTGAACGAGAATCAGACAACTTCTTCGGGCAGGATTTACATCAAAATCATTTTCCTTGAATTGGCTCAAATGATGGGACTTTCAAAGCTGTATGAAAGAATCTGTGATCCGTAAGTTTAGAGATTTTCTAGAATTCAACAATATGTAGTACATTGCAACATGTGTTTGAGAGACTTTTTCCCAACCGAGCCAATACTCGTTTCGCCATCAATTTCTTCACATTAATCGGTCTTCGTGGACTGACCTAAGAAAGATTTTAGAAGGCTAATAAGTGTATAAATTTTAGGGTGAATCTTCACCAGTTTTTGGAAAAAGGCGGAAAGAGGAAGAAAAGAAAGCAGAGCTTTGTTAAGAATTCTTCAAGAATGCTTCATGATTCCTCAAGGTTGAAAGGCCAATGATTTTTTTAAACTTCCTTGGGAATGGAAAAGTTCTTGGAGCAGAGGAAAGCCACCGATCTCAACACAAATGTTTGTTTCGCAGAAAATTGGACAGAATCCGTATCGAAAGTTCTGGGGGAATCGATCGAAATCATTTGATAATATCTTTCGAGGAGCACAACAAATACGGACGATTGGAGAATCAATTCCTGTTCCCAACGAACACCATTACGGCTCATCTTTCCAGTTTTAAACTGAAATTCCCTGTCATGTGTAAGTCGTTATTTACTCAATTCAATTTACTGTACGGCAGATGTGAGCCAACTGTTGCCATTGGGTGAATAAACAATTGTGAATGCTTTAGGCAAGACGTAAATGGACTAAAAGGCAAAGTCTCAATCATCCTATGCAAAACTCATCAATCATTCTCAGAAATGAGCTTCCCACTTCTCAAACTTAGTCTGGATATTGGTAAATTATTGAAGAAGTCCTTGCGTCCTCATCCTACAGGGTGTGCCAAAAATTCCCGTACTTGTATTTTCTGTATTTTTGGCGACATTAGATAAAAGGGTAAAACGAATTCCTCGCGAAAAACTGATTTAGAAAACGTTTCTGATTAATTTATAAGTGCAACACTATTTAAGACAAGTGATTGAGAAGAGGGTCCGCTCAGGGGCGCTTTGGTCGCACATTTTTTTGGGGCTTAAGGCCTGTAACTTTTATGGATCAAAAGATTTTCCAAGCCAAGATGTTTTTCGAAAACTAGGCATAAAATGTGACATTTTTTATATTGGGTGTATAAAGTTTTGGTCAACGACCGAGTCGGAAGTCAGGCTAGAACTTGGTTTTACAAACTTCCATCAAAGGAAATAACTGTGCGACCAAAGCGCCCCTGAGCGGACCCTCTTCTCAATCACTTGTCTTAAATAGTGTTGCACTTATAAATTAATCAGAAACGTTTTCTAAATCAGTTTTTCGCGAGGAATTCGAATTTCTTGCTTTTAAAATCGTACCTTTTATCTAACGTCACCAAAAATACAGAAAATACAAGTACGGGAACTTTTGGCACACCCTGTATTTCTTGCCTCAAATCATTGTTATTTTGTAGCAGTTTTCGTTTTAATAAGAAACCTCTACTTTGCTTGGCAACAAATTTCTAGTTTGATTTTGTCTTCTCTCATCAATTTTGCCTCTTTAGTAGCTGTTTCCTTTAATTTTCACTTGTTCTTCGACAAAAATTCAGTCATTTTGTAGGCATCCAATCGTCTAGCAACCGAAATGGATAATCTCTCGAATCTTCCTCCTCGATGTCTTCAGCGCATCTCTTCTTTTTCCAAATGTCCAGAAATGCCCGAAATGACTGAAGAATTGCCTGAAAAGAGTACCAAACGCATAAAAGAATCGGTCACCTCGTTGAAGAAAATCGCCCAACTCGAAGCCGATTTGTGGGTTTTTCGCCAAATCTTTGCTTTTATCAAAAACAGTCTTTAATTTAATCAAATAGTTTAGGGAGCAAATGAAAAAGGACAAAGACGTCGAGATGAGTCGATGGACAGCAAAAATCGCTCAAATGGAGGCGAATTTGAAAATCGCGAAGTTGGAGGCCGATTTGGTTGACGAAAGGGAGAGAAATCGAGAATTGGAAAGGAAAATCGCCGAGACGAAACGGAAGAACGACGATCTCGAAGCAAAGTTGTACTAATTTTGTAATTTCCTTTTAGATAGACTC